CAATTTCTATTAACTATAACTGAGAAAAGTACCCTTTGCTTTATATTCATGATTTGCCTTTCTTTCAAGAGTGCTGTATTCAGCAAGATTCCTCATTTCTTAACTGAGTCATACAACTGAGACCAGACAACTGTGCTTGAACATACTAACTTCAGATATTTTGAAAATTATAGTATTAAGAACTACATTTTTATATCAGGGGGAAAAAGGACTGTAATACCTAAATGCAGGAAAATGTTTTGTTTTTTGGTGTGCATGCATGTGGGAGAGATACCTTACAAATGAGACTGCATTCTCTAATCATCGATGCTAAAAAAAATTGTCCTCTAATAAGTTACCTGGTGGATTATATACAAAATAGCATCCTGTTATGAAATTTAATGTAATGGGAATTCTTCCCAGTTCTTGCCTTTTGAACTTTATGATTTTCTTGCCCTGTTTTGGGGGTAAGTTCATGATGTGATGTGTGTTAGAGTCTTGGGGATAGCCATCAAACATTATATTTTCAACCGATAATCTTGGCCTTTGTTCTGGGTGTGCATAGCCACCATATGACAGGCTGGAAGCCATCTTACATAGGCTTTTAAAGTAGCCCCTGTACTTCCAGATGGTTATGGGTTGAAGTCATAGGTTAGAATCTTTGGACCCATTTCAATGACAACAGCATTTCTCACTTAAATCAAAATCAGCACAGCAATTATTGGTTTACAGTGCTGGCTTGTGGTGCTATTCTTACTGTTGCTGCTTTATGTCAAACTTTGTAGCAATAAAGTCATTTATTTCTTCTACTCTTACCTCTGTTGAACTACAGGCTTTTCAAGCTAGGAAGACCACAACGACACAACCACAACTAGATTTGCTTTTCAAGTGATGTATGTTGGAAGACAACATTTCTGTACTACTAACTTCCCCCCCCTTTTGCATAGTATATGTTGATTCCTTTAGCAATCTTTATAAACTGATAACTTTAATAATTCAGTCACATGTATGATTAAGGTTAATGTTTTTGATATGGTCACTGAAAAACTAATTTCTTACGCATTTATTTGAAATTGCAATTTTGACTTAGTCATTTAAATCAGACACACATTTGGGGTGTTTAGACATGAACAAAGTATTCTGTACAATAGATTTTCTTTGTTCTAGACCTGTTTCTAAATAAAGGTTTCTGGTATAACAGCAGTACAGAATCCTAAAAGATGGAATTTCATGAGAGTTTAGATACAGTATGTTATTAACACTAATTCCTTCTTATGCTTTCCTAGAACAGACTTGGGGCTCACCAGGAAAGATCCCTGAAATTTATCTGCCATTTGGTCCCTCAATGTTTCATTCTTCTGAAGGTGTAAAATCTTCTGTCACATTTAATAGTCTATTTTGAGCTTTCGTGTTTTCTTGAACAATTTCGTTTCATCTGCAAGTTGTGCCTCCCACTAAAAAAAATAATATACCAAGTACATTCAGGCTCAAATAAAACATCTTTATTGTACAAAGAGTTCCATTTCAGTCTCTAGACCAATGACTGAGTACTGTTTCTTTTCCAAGAAAGAACATCTTGGGATCTGTGCAATGCTACAACATGGATCAACCATACCCAGGAATCCCTCAGACCTATGGAAAAGGGAAGCACGATGTTCCCAGTGGACTCCTGCCTTTGAGATCTGAGCCCTAGGACAAAGCCGTGCTCATGCATCAGCCTTCCAGGACTCATTCTCTGAATACAGTGGAAATGCATAAAGACCCAACACACAAAGTGTTCTAACTCTATGGCAATATACACCAAGGAAAATAGCAATGGTTAAGAAGGCTTGTGTGGCAAATTTCCCACATGGACAGCACTTGCTGTATTAAAAGCATGCAAAGGCCCCTGCCACACGGCAGGGAAAACACCCGGCAAAGCGCGGCTAAATAGAGCTGCACCAAAAAAGAGACGCGCGGGTGGGATCCCACAGATCAGATGCCGGGGAGGAAGGGACGATCGGGAGGGGGAGGCTGCCGAACTGTGCATGCTCATGCATGTGCAGTTCAGCTGGGGGCCGGGGATGCACCGGCGGCAAGACGCGCCGGCGATCCCACGGCCAGCGGTGATGCGGACCAAAGGGATGAACCACCTAGGTAGGTGGTTCATTTTTGCTGCGATTCATCAGGGGAAGGGCCGGATCGGAGACGGGAGTGCAACGCTGGCCAGATGTTGACGTGGGATTGCGCCTGTTTGCTCCGGCCCCGATCCGGCCCACTCCCGGCCCAAAACCCCTCGTGTGGACAGGGCCAAAGATAACCAAATAAGGTGCATCTTTGCTGGGAAGTCATGGCACAGCTTCCCCAGTGCATGTCTGTGAGGCAAACGGATGTATGTGTGATCATTGTGTGGTGATCTGTGCCTGGTCTGGATGCTTTTTCTTGCACACAAATAATATTTGCATTAAATTAATCACATTCGTCACATCTTGAAGAGGCTCCAAGAACTACAATTCACACACAGCACCCCAAGTAAGCTTTCCAGCACAGAACCATGCCTGTGGAGACAAATAAACAAAACCACTCAAGTTCTAGCTACATATACATTTTCTGAAGTAACTGAGTGGATTCCAAGCAGGATTGCCAACTTTTAGGTAGGGCCTGGAGATCTCCTGGATAATTGATCAGCAGTTGACAAATACAAGTTCCCCTAGAGAAAACGTCTGATTTGGAGGATGTGCTGTATGGCATTATACCTCTCTGAGGTCTCTCCCCTTCCCAAACTCCGCCCTCCCAAGGCTCTACCCTCAAAATCTCCAGAAATTTCCCAACTGGGAGATTGCAACCTTAATTCCAAGACATTCCGGTAGAGATCATTTTACATTCATAAGATACATAATTGTACACACACAGTATTGTTACATACACAGTATTGTTTCTTCCCCTGTAGTTTGCACAGAGTGGAACAAAACTAAACAAAAAGCCCTTACAAAATGATGCACTTCTCCATCCTTGTTCCTATGTGGGCACTTCCAGGGGTCTGGGGCTGCCTGACAATTACAATAAAACTCTATGGGCACTAGGGAAAGGTGCAGCATTCTAAACTTTGATTCTCATTGTACACCTGTAGGTGTCAAGGGCTGGGTTTTCATGACACAGGAAGAAATGTAATCTCTTCCTTTTTCCACAGCACATAAAACAAATCTTATTTCCATAACAATGGTATTTCCCAACTCCCAGGGCTTTTTCCTTCATTTGAATGTGAGGTATGCCTAACAATTAAGAGATGAGGTCATTAAGGGTTTCCTAGTGCTCAAAACTCCCAGCCAACATTATCCAAACCCCATTACATTCTTTTTCCCCTCTCTTTCTCTAAATGCCATCCTTTCAGCTTTTTTAAACTGTAGTCTTTGTCCTCCTGTTCTCTATCACAGGCTCTCTCTTTTCTCTCTTTCTGTCACATGCTTCTCCCTTTCCCACCATTTCCCTCTTAACTTTGTATTTTACCTCCTCACCTTACAATCTTTGAATCAAACAAGGATGAAATTACTTTAGATTTCTTTCAAACACACTAGGATTCTCTGAAAAGTAAAATGTTCACATTTAAAACATCACAACTAAGTTAAAACTGCATCACCATAGCATAATTTCCCCCAGAAAAGATGGCAACCTGTACTTTATTTGCTTTGAAGCAGATATTCTCCCCTGTTCTGTGGCGAACCTGTCTAGGCCATTGTGTAAGGAATGGCACATGACACTAACAGCTGCTAACTTTAACTGCCTTTCACAACTTTTAGAAAGGTGTTTACAATATTGCTACTGTAGTGTATTCCTGAGGACACAATTTATTCCCCCCCCCAATCCTGTCTTTTCCAAAGATGCAGGGTGGATTACAATATATTCCCATATCCATGCTGGTTTGCAACAAACTTTTGAGGTAGGTTAGGCCAAGAGATTAAGTTAAAATAAACAAGATATCGGGAGCATCATAGATAGCACAAACTTGGATTCTCCCAATTGGATTCTCTCAAATGTACCACCTGAAATGGCCTACTGTTTCATGTAAATCCCTCTGTTTTCATTTTGTACTTTAAATTAAAATATCTGTGTACTGAATCCAAGGTTAGAGTTACAGGATCTTGTTAAGAATTTGGGCAGGTGTTCACTCACAGTACGTGTTTTGGTATTTGGTTGGTGCACTTTTGACCTTTCTGGCCTGTTTTTGGAGGTTTGATTGTACCTTGCTGTTGCATAATACCAATTCTAGTACCCAAGCTGGTAGGACTAGATGGACAAACCAGGAAGGGAACAGAAACTCTACAGGTCATGACAGAGATATTAAGGAGTATCACATAGGAGGAATCCCAAGTGTAAGTTTCTAGCAGGGCACTCTCCTTCCCTTATACATAGCAGTAGCTGGCTAGGTATCTAATGACATTATTAACAATAGGTATTATTAATGCCTTCTTACACACACACACAAGTATGTGGGACACAGAGCAGTATGTAACCAAAAATAAGCCTAAAGTGTACAGGTGACATTGCTTTTACTATTAAGGAAAAAGAAGAATTAATCCATGAGTTCAGACATTCAAAAGTCTTGTTCTCATGAAGTGATTTTGAGGTGATCCAGTGAGTGCATTCAAAGGAAACAGTTCATCAAAATGGATGGATCTTTTCCAGATATGATCCTTTGAATGACAACCTAAAAGTTCTGTTTTAACCTGCCCACAGAATTCTTCCTAGGAGCATGAGACATTTCCACTTATCTATGGGACCACTCCAAAAAGTCGTCCCACAAGAGTCAAATGATGCTTCAGCCCTACACATATTTTTGAACCCTAAAGACTGAAAACCAGCTTGTTTTTTGGACCCAATTTCATCAGGACATGTTTTATCCATCTAAGGTTGAGCCATACAACTGATATCCCTTTGCACAAAACACCCAACGCTATGTTTGAAAGCTCATTCCATTTCAGTTGATATTTTTCAGTGTGATCTCCTAGGTAAATCCCTCCATTCTTAAGAACAAAACTCTCAAGATTATAACTCAAATTTTACATCAGAGATTAATCATAACATTCTTTCGGAGGTTCTAGAAACTGCCTACGCTGCCTAGTTTTTTAACAGTACAAGCCTGGTCATTCATGAACAACAAATGCGGCATTCCAGCTGCTTAAAGGTCACCTGGACCACAGGATATCCTGGTGCAACACAAGTCCACCTGCTGCCCCACAGGCAAGTTCTACCATAACCCAGAAAGATCTGGGGCTCTGGGTCATGTTGGCTTATCATACTCCTCATCTGGAGCCATTAGTGAGTCACTTCACTCTCTGGGAGAGAAGGTTACAAGGTCCAGCACTGGCTTTTAAGCCTGTGCATTACCAAGCCAGCTTCAGACAAAGCAGAAAAATTTCTTCCAGCGACATTTGGAAAGAGTTTTTATTCCCTTGGCTGTCATTTTCTTTTCTTGCTGGGCTTTGTGCTCCACTGCGCTTACAATGGCCGTGTCAAAAACCTCCTTCAGGTTCTTTTGAGTCAGAGCGGAGCACTCCACGTATGTCTGAGCCCGGATTTTCTCAGCCAGTCCTTCAGCCTGAGTTCTAGGCACAGGCTTTACCCGGTAGCGGTCCAGACTGATCAGCACATTGACGTCGTCCCGCAGATCAGCCTGTGTCCCCACTAGCACCACTGGGGTCTGAGGTTTGTGAGTTCTTATCTCAGGGATCCATTTCTCTGTAATGTTTTGGAAAGACGTGGGGTTCACAACACTGAAGCAGACCAAGAAGACGTCAGTGTCAGGGTAACAGAGAGCACGTAGGCAATCAAAATCTTCCTGCAGAGGAAAAACAGAAGTACGAAGATCAGTTTGTATAGAGCGCCTTCAGGAATAATGATAGCTAGCACAGAGTGACCTTGTCCCTTCCACAAAGCTCAGGAATTCTTAGCCTTTGTCACAGCAAATCCCCCCCAGCTAATAATCAAACATTTGAGTTTCCCCAAGGGTAACTAAGCCTGGAGACTGATGTATGCACAAACTGAGAGTGGGTGTGGCACTGTTTTCTGGAGATCTATTTGCCTTTACTCTGGCACATGAAGCTGGCTTCAGAGTGAAAAATGACTGAAGCACAGGCTAACCTGCAAATTAAGCCCATTTGGAATGGATCCCCCCTTGCCTGGTGTGATTATCTAACTAAAAATCAATTTGGTGCTTTAAGGCTTCACACTTCTTTTTTTTACTCTAACATAAGTTCTGTGAATATGTGCCTTTTTGACTGACACAAAGGCCAGCCAGTGAGTCATATGAAAATGCAGCTTCTTCTCAGAAAAAAAAAGTGGTTCCCCTAATCTTGACCAAAGTGTCACAAGTGTTGTCTGTTCTTAGAGGAAACACCTCACCCCAGTACACTCTCATACCAGTTACAGGCTCAGTTACCAGTTAGGCCAACAGAAAAAAGGAGAGAGAATGACAGACGTTTAGGTCCACTAAAGGAGAGATCTCAGTAAAAACACAAAAATGGTTGTTCCCCACCAGTGTTTGAAGGACCTCTTTCCTAAATTCATGTAACTCTTTGCTAATATGTACAAACAAACTCACCTCACATTTTGAGAACCCTGCCTCTAAAGTATGCTTCAGTCAAATGTTTCCTCAGACAATACCTCACCAGGGTGGCCTTAGACAGGCCACTCTCCACTGAAGCTCAGCATTCCCTGCCCGCAATATGGGGATAATTTGATTAGTCTACTGTATAGGCCTGTTCAGGGCTATATTTGGGCAGGAACACACCGGAACAGAGTTCCGGCTGGCTTCAGAGTTGGCCATGCCCACTACAGCCAAAACCTCTGTGTGCATGGCTACAGAGGGAAGGCCTGGAGAGTGACCCCCCGGCAACTCCGAGGACGGGTGGGCCGGGGGGGGGGCTGGAAGGATCAGGGAGGCATTTAAATGCCTCCCTGTGCCTTCCCTGGCCTGTCCAAGGACTAGCTTGCCAGGGCTCCCTGTGGCTGCGGGGTGCCTGGGCAAGCCAAGGGAAGGCAGTTTAAACTGCTTCCCCTCCCCTCCAAGGGCCGGCTTGCCTGTGCTCCCCGCAGCCTTGGGGCACCTGGACAAAAAAAGCCCTGGGCCTGTTTAATAATTATCAAGATGAGGCTTTTGAAACTCATTTGGTGCTTGAAATAAGCTATTGAAAAGCTATTTATTATTTAACTAGGAAAAAGGCCCGTTGGGTAAATAAATACAACGACCTCTAGAAAGAGGCTCTGGATGGGTGCCCCGGCCTTGGACACTCAGTGTCAATGTGCTGTGGTGACCTCAGCAGGGTATAATGACACTGAGTCCACCATTTTCTCCAGGGGAACTGATCTCTGCTACCTAAAGAACAGTTATAATTTTGAGTGATCTCCATCCCTTACCTGGGGATTGGCAACGATGGTTCCCCAAAAGGGAATGTTTGGTTTGGAGGGTGGAGTCTATGGCTTTGTACCTGTCCGAGGTCCCACGCCTCCTGAAACCTCACCCTCTCCAGGCTTTATCCCTCACATCTCCAGGAATTTCCCACCTGGAGTTGGCAACCCTATCTACTTCCCAGCCAATCATCAACCTACCTTTAGTTCACCCTCACTCTCCAGCTTTCCACCCCCCACACACCTGCAGCCTCTCCCGTGCTCTGAAGCCCTGACTGCTACGTCGCATTGGCTGTCATACGGGGGCCACCTCAGCAGCATATAAGGATACAGAGCCCACCATTTTCTCCAGGGGAACTGATCTCTGCCATCTGGAAAGCAGTTGTAATTCTGAGGGATCTCCAGCCCTCACTTGGAGATTGGACACATTTTACCTCAGAACAGCAAACTGTTTAGAATGTTAGAGGCAAAAGCCAATCAAGTCGCATATGCAAATGACCTCTGTGTTCCGAGGCAAAGGCCAATGAGGCTGCATATGCAAATAACCTCTGTGTTCTGACTGGCTATGGGGGGGAGAGGAACAGCAAACTGTTTATAATGTTGGAGGCGAGACTCAAGCAATGCAGCCAGTGGATAGGGACAGATTCTGAGTGACACACCAGGGCGCCAACCAATTCCGGAGCATGTGGAATGTTCTAGAGAAGTGCCACGACCATTCGGCTTTTATATATAAGGGAGATTTTATGAGGATAAGTAATATCACTGTTGCCATTTCACTCATATTATTTCCAGATTCTCATCATTCTTTCTGACATCACTATTGGCAACTCATCTCAATAAAACCTGCTTTGGCATATGAGCCTCACCTGTCCTGCAGTGTCCCATAGCTGGATACGAACTGGTGCACCATCCACCAGGACCTGAACTGCAAACAGAGAGGGAGAAAGACGATAAGTGCTTACTGATACACTCCATCTACATTCATAAGTGTCTCCTTTCCTAGCCAGAACTGGAAATTTTGGAAGATGCATTAAGGAACACAAATTAACACATCTGGGAAGGGAATAGATTGTGAATAGATAGCACATCTGTTGTGAATAGATAGTACATCCATAAGTGCATAAGAGAAGCCATGTTGGATTAGGCCAATGGCCCATCCAGTGCAACACTCTGTGTCACACAGTGGCCAAAGCCCAGGTGTCATCAGGAGGTCCACCAGCAGGGCCAGACTCTCACAGTCCACATGTGCCAATGACTTCAGCCTTAACCTGTCTGTCCACTCATCCACTTCACGAACAACTGGGGGCCACTACAGGCCATGCAGTCATATATATCCCTCTACTACGCAGAAAACATCCACTTGCACCTTCATTGTACCCACTTCCCAGCTGTGCTAAATTGCTGAATGGACAGCACAGGAAGCTCAGGTTTGGTTAAACTGTACCCTAGCAAGAACATAATAGAAATATTATATCCTCCAAACATTTAGATTTGTAGAGAAAGTCTGATGCACTAGGATCTGTATGACTGAGGCTCAAATCCCTAGTCTGCCATAGAAGCTCACTGCGTGACTTCGAACCAGTCACACACTCAGTCTAACCTACGTCACAGGTAGGGTAGCCAGCTATAGGTTGGGAAATACGAGGAGATTTGGGGGGTGGAGGCTGAGCCTGGGAAGGATGGGGTTTGTGGAGGGGAGGGTACTCAGCAGGATTTAGTGCCACAGAATCCATACTCCCAAGCAGCCATTTTTCTCCAGCGGAACTGATTTCTGTAGTCTGGAGATCAACTATAATACTGGGAGATCTCCAGGCCTCACCTGGGGGTTGGCAACCTTATTCACAAGGTTGTTATAAGGATAAACTATAGGAAAGGAGAACAAAAGAGCCTTGGGGCCCCCATTAGGGAGAAAGGCAGAGTATAAATGAAGGAAAACATAGTCCCTAACTTGAGTGATAACGTCCGGGTTAACTGTGTTTGCACATGTACACACATACAGTTATTATTTACAAGGCATCTAACTTGCCTAGGGACAGTACAAAGGTCAAAAATCACAGAATCAGGCTCTGCCCACAAACTTTTAATCTAAAATAGTAAGTCATGTGAAGAGAAAGAAGAAAGGCGCAAGAGGAAGAAAGTGAGACAATTGCATACAAGAAGTTCCTTTGCTTAAAAATCTAGAGGGTTCCCCAGCATGGTTCGTGGTGCCTGCCAGTACTTCCCTTTGCACCTGTCAAGGTTTTCAGAAAGTGGGAGAGGCCATTGAAAGGCAGGGCTTATTATTGGCTTCCCTCATCCATATGAAAGGCTTTTCCACTGGAGATCAGGAGTACTGGTAAGCACCTGGGCTTTCCTTAATCAGTTTGTCATTCACTTTCCCCCTCAGCCTTTCCTTCTTCTGTGATGCAGCGACAAAAAAGGCTAATGCAATCTTGGGGGTGTATTAACAGAGGCATAACATCCAAATCACAAGATGCCACAGTCCCATTGTAGACTGCATTGGTCAGGCCGCACCTGGAATATTGTGTGCATTTCTGGAGGCCTCACTTCAAAAAGGATGTGGACAGAATGGAGCGGGTGCAGAGAAGAACAACGAGGTTGATCGGGGGCCTGGAGACCAAGCCCTATGAGGAAAGGCTGAGGGACTTGGGAATGTTTAGTCTGGAGAAAAGGAGGTTGAGGGGGGACATAAGTACTTAAAGGGCTATCACTTAGAAGAGGGCAGGGAGCTGTTCCTGTTGGCAGAAGAGGATAGGACTCACAATGGCCCCGGTCACACGGCAAAGTTGCCGTGGGAGAGGCACGGATGGTGGGCAGATTATCCGGGCGCGATCACACCCCAACATCTGGGAAGTGGAGTGCACCCGTGGCTTACTGCCGACAATGTGCCTTAAAAAACTAGTACCTTCAAGGTACTAGTAAACGTTTGCCACGGGCTGCCTCCAGACGCCCATGGTGTGATCGCGCTGGCGCGCGGCATTCCCCTCTGGTCCCTCGTTTACCCGCCGGCGCCGATGGAAGGACCTGTGGTGTGCCGCCGGTGCATCTGATTGCGTAATTGCGCATCAAACTGCGCCGGGGCAATTAGCCACGCCTCCCCCCCACGATATCCGGCCTGTGTGACCGGGGCCAATAATGGGTTTAAATTAAGTGCAGGAAGGTCCCCCCTGGATATTAGGAAAACCTTTTTTACAGTAAGAGTTGTGCAACAGTGGAATCAGCCACCTCGGGAGGTGGAGAGCTCCCCCTCACCGGCAGTCTTTAAGCAGTGGCTGGACAAACACGTGTCAGGGAGGCTCTAGGCTGATCCTGCATTGAGCAGGGGGATGGACTAGATGGCCTGTATGGCCCCTTCCAACTCTGGGATTCTAGGATTCTCAAGAGGTGTGAGGAGGAAGGCATTTCATTCCGCTGCATCTCCTGTGGCAGCCATTATGGGTTGTAATGTGTATGCCTAATACTGTTTCTGCTGTAGAACTACCTGTTCTATATAGATATAGAAAAAAGAACTGCAGTTGTTTCACAGACCTTCTGGCCTTTTAGGCTTGTTCAGCTACTCTCTGGCCTGCCCTTCCCCTTGCCACTACACAAATGAAGTGATAGAATCGCTGACCTAAATATTTAGTTGTTTACTGTCAACAGTGAAACTGTACTGGTGGTGAGTTATTTGTGTAATGTTTGCCACAACACAGCTCCGTAATTGCAAGGAACATCTGTCATGGCAAAAACCAACCCAGCAGCCTCATATGCAGTGCAATTGTCTCTCCTTTGTTAGCTAGTTTGCTTACAGGAGTTAAAATCAGGACATTTTATTCCACTAGTGGCACTAAGGACAGAAACTTGAGTTACTGATAGTTAGGAGCATTTCATGATTTAAAATCCTCTTAAACCCCACCAGTGTTTTCTCTTCTTCTCTGCTCAAGTCCTGTCTAGATTAAGAATGTGCATTTGAATATCAAGTAATAAAAATAAATTGAAAATGCCCTATTTTTAGAATAGTTAATTTAATCTAATTTTTTTTTAAAGGACAGTAATATTCTGAAATCTTCAGGACTGATGGTTATTCAGATATCTGTTTTCCACTGTTCCCTGGGCTGAGAGCAGCAGGAGATACCAGAGGTAGATTCAACAGCTGCATAACTGGTGGTGGTATGTTCCAATCAAAAGGGTCACACAATTGTGCTACTTAACAGGACTCTTCAGTTATGTCTTTCTGTGCACAGCACTTCTGCCAGTCATGGTGGTGGTGGAAAGCAGGGTCAACCCTGTTTAGCAGTTGGATGGAAGACCACCAAGAAGGTCCAGGGTCACTACACAGAGATAGGCAGTGGCAAACCACTTCTTAGTCTCTTGCCTTGAAAACCCCATGGGGTCACTGTAAGTCATCTACGACTTGATGGCACTTTCCACCACTGCACAAACTACCAGTCAAAGTACTCTATAACCAGCTTGGGGAGGGCTGTGGCTCCATTTGCTAGAGTTATTCTGCTATCCAGGGGTCATTTCGTAGAAAAAGAGCTAGGGGAACTCATTAGCATAACTCATTAGCATATGCCACACCCCCTTACATCACCGGAAGTGTGTCATAAGGCCACACCCACTGACATCACCGGAAATGTGTCATAAGGCCACACACCCCGCCCCCAACGGTCCCGGCCGCCACCTCCAGCCTTGCAGCTCCACTGCCAAGCCCCATTAGGGGCCCGGCTGTGGACCTGCAAGGCTGGCGGGAGTGCAAGGAAGCCCCGCAAAGGCCCTCCCTGGCCCCAGGCAGGCAGGGGTGGGCAGAGGCAGGGAGGAAGCAACTTACCCTCCCTCTTCTCCTGCCTCCTCCTGGCTGAATGAGGGCCGGAAGCGGGGCGGCCGGAAGCAGGGGGCGGGGCTTCGTCATGTGCCCCGCCCCCTGTACCCCCTGTTCCCCCCCGAAATGACCTCTGCTGCTATCTCTGGTATGTCTGTTATGGCTTTTGATGACACTTTAATTTATGGCCAATTTTTTGAGCAGGAGGGACCTCACATCAATACATGAGTCTGACCCTTTACATGGCAAAAATGGATAGGGTCTATTTTTGAACAAAAATATAACGCATGGACAAGGGAAGTTAAACCCTGCCCCCTTCCCATGCCTTACCCCTCCCCAGCACAATTATAACATTTTTCTCACGTCCTGGAGAACAGCAAAGTAAATTGTGTGTGAAAGGAGTAGTGACTCTCCAAGCTACACCCTCATGTGTGTTTGTATGCCTCCTTGTACAGAAATGGCCCTACAGTTTGTTCCCGCTAAGCATGGTCCTAGTGTAGAGCCAGCTTGGTGTAGTGGTTAAGAGCATGGACTCTAATCTGGGAGAACTGGGTTTGATTCCCCACTCCTCCACAGGCAGCTGCTGGTGTGACCTTGGGTCAGTCATAAGTTCTTTCAGAGCTGTTCTCTCAAGGGCAGCTCTCAAGAGAGCTCTCTCAGCCCCACCTACCTCACAGGTGTCCGTTGTGGAGAAGGGAAAGGGATTGTAAGCCACTCTGAGGCTCCTTTGGGTAGTGAAGGATGGGGTATAAATCCAAGCTCTTCTTTTTCTCTCTTATTTATGATTTATATAGTCCAACAACAAAGAAGGAACAATGTCCCTGCAACAGAAACGGACCTACCATCCAGACTGAAGCATTACAACTGTATAGGGTTGCCAAATGACCCCGGGGGGCGGGGAATCCCCCACTTCGGAGCCCCGAGTTCCGCCCCAGCGGAATCAGGGCCCGGGGGGAACCCCACGTTGCTGACGTTTGGGGCGTGGCTGAGCTCGTCGGGGGGAGGGAAACCATATGTTTCCCACCTGACGAGCTTGGCCACGCCCCCAACGTCAGCACCGTCTGACGTCACTTCCGTACACGCACACAGCCGGCTCCCGACCAGGACGGAGCCTCCCCCGCCGG